TTCGTGGTAGCATTCGGAGGACAAGAAGGCGAGCCGTGGACTTTGCAAGTGTCGGGGAACCGGGTTGCTCTAGCTGCAGCCCGGCGGGCGCACGCGGAGGCCTCCCGCCTCCCGCCTCCCGCTTACACTGAGGAGACCACCGCGGCTCCGGAGAAACCGGCGAGAACCCACATCCACCTGGCCCGGCCGGAGGGTGAGGCGCGGTTTAGAAGCTCCGGCTCCATTATCTCTGCCTGCATAGGGCGTCCCTGGCAGAGGTTTGGAAGCTGAATTCCCCATAGTTTTCTCAACTGAACTTGGTTTTGGATCCAGAAACCCTTTTTTACTCTTTTAAAGTTATTTTGTAGAGCCTCATTTGAAGATATATCTATATCTATAGATATAATATATTATATATATAATATGTAGGAAATATATACTTAATACGTGAAATGTGTGTACATGTTTTTGTGTGTATATATATGTATATATATATATATATATATGTACACAATATATTTGTGAGAAGAAAGACACAGACCCAACAGAAAATACTTTAGCAGTGGAGCTTGTCTCTAGAGCCCTCTGAGCCCACAGGTCCCCCAGAAGACCCTGGGGGTCCAGCAGAAAAGACCTATAGGTCTCCTAGACCATGCCAACCCCCGTGGCAGGAGATGGTATGGGGGTCCTGGAGCCTGCTGAAGGACATATCTAGCCCCAGTTGGGCAGATTCAGGATTGCTGCTTCCCCCCTCTTCTCTCCAAGCTGGCTTTAGATCCTTGCTTCCTACTTTAGCGGGTGAGAGCTGGTTTCCAAGGGCTGTTTTCATCTCTGGCGTGTACTGGTGGGCAGGCCTGGACACCTCTCAGTCCCCTGCCGGTCACAAACAGCAGCTCCCCAAACCCTCCCAGAGTCTGTTGCCCTGTTCTCCAGCATTCACTTAAAACAAATCTAGTGGGATCCCCCCACCCTTTTCTCTCTCAGTACTGTTTCAAAACAGTTGTTACAGCAAATTGATGCCCACTGGCCCTGGCAGCCACTCAGTGCCTGTGCTGGCCCTCCACAGGACCAAAATAAGCTCAAGTTCCATTTGCAAGATTCAGCATCCTAGCCTGGAGGGCCCAAGCACTTTGGCTGTGCTTTGCTTTCAGGAAGAAGAAACATCCCTAGTTCCCTTCTTGATTATTCCTGCTGTCCCGAGCTAACATGTTTTTAATTTTAGAGGAACATAGTATGGGGATCTGCAGATTCAAGGACAGAAAGAGAAAAGAAAGCATCACGAACCCAAGGTCAACCTTGACCCTGGAGTGTCGGGTCCCTGCAGTCGAAGGCACGGGTTCTCAGTGGGTCTGGGCCTCAGATACCCGGTTCCCAGCCCAGACATGCAGCAGCTTGGAGCTCTTGAAGGAGCATCCTTGAGTCCCCAACACCATTCAGGGATCCCTTCAGCCTGGGTGAAGATAAGTCGCCACCCCTCGTAGCTATGCCCTGACACCTGGGCATGGCCACTCACGCATGCCCCTCATCGTACAGTCAGTTGCACATACACAAACATTTGTATTCAACTGTGTATGCTCTATTTGCATGTATACATTTACATGTGTTTGGACATCACCTGTGTGAGTACACACATAAACCCGTATCATACCCACACACATATGACTCTGACATGACACATCCCACTCCCACACGCACATGTGTACAAGACATACCAACACATGGTCCTTGTGCAGAAGCACTCCCCAGATCTGCTGTCCTGGCTGCAGCATGGTGGCCACTGTCATCCCCAGAAACCCTAAGACCTGCCACCCTGGAGACCTTCCAGCTCCCCCCCCCATACTCCCTGAGACGAGAAGCAGATTAGATCTCCTAGCTCCCAAATGTCTGAGGTCCCACTGTCTGAAATCAAATAAATAATCATTTTTTAATACGGGGGGGGGCCGTCAGGGAAATTACATAAAACTGTGAATTAGTCCCTGCTCCAAATAAATGCCTGCTCAGGCCAGAGAGCAAGCAAGCCGCGCTGCTGGGTAATTGTGTGTTGGGTGTCTCTCCATTGTTCCCTGGGCCATTAGTCAAAGGGCAAATTAGAAACAATTTCTTGACGACAAAAATTGACTCTTAATTCTTCCCACCAGAGGCTTGCAGAGACAGGTCCAGTGGCCAGGCCTGGAAGCTTGCATCTGGAGGGGTAGGTGAGGGTGAGGGAGCACTGGGGGCCTCTGGACCCTGGTTTGTACTTGGTCGGTGTGCAAATAAGACAGATGCAGACTGGACCCGGGCGCCGGCTGGGCAGGACTGGAGGAGTGGGCTGGGGGGTGGGGCCTAGCAAGGTCCACAGCACCCTGAATGCTCCCTCCATGGTAGGAGGTACCACCCCACCACCGTCACCAATCATTGTTTCAAAGAATAGCTCGGGGGATCTGGAATTTTCATTCTTTCTCTCAAACACTGGCAGAAGGACAACACTAGGCCATTTCCAAGGGGTTTCCCTGGCTGGGGAAGCAGGTCCTGAGCACCCCCATTCCATTCCCTGGAGGAGGTTCTCCCCTACCATGGAGGGGAGTCTTTTCATCAGAGCCTTGGGCTGCACTGCACTGGAGGGAGTGGGTCTATGGCACGTGCAGCAGACAGCTCTTTGTTACTGAAAGCTCTAAAAGGTTCGTCATTGGTCAGGAAGGTCAGAGTGTGGCAGGAAAGCCCAGCTCCCCTTTCTTTCACTTAACTGCCCTGAGCCCTCCTGGATAAGACTGGGAAGTCTGGTGCTGCATGCAGTTGGGGCACCAGGAGTGGCACCTTCTTTGGCAGTCTTCTGTCTTTGGGTCTTAAGGTGATTTGGCCAGGCCTCTTAAGGAGAGGAGAGTGAGTGCCCCAGTCCCACAGAGAAGCCTTCCTCACAGCCCTCTGTTACTTGGGCTGAGCCCAGAGACAAGAGGACAGGAAGGGGCTGCTGTGTGGGAGTGTTCATCACAGCCCTCGCCTTCGGTACCTACTCCCTCCCAGCTGAGTCCCAAGGTAAAGGGCAAAAAGCCAGACAGAAGGGAGGGTTGCTGGAGGAGGAAGGGCTGCAGGGAGCCGGCATGGAAGAGATTCCTGGACACACTCCAGAGGCTGCTCATTCCCAGAACAGTCCCAGCTCTAGACTTAAATAAGAAGATGGGCTAGGACAATACCTGCTTGGAGCCCTGGGGACCCCAGGGCAAGGTGCAGGTTGTAACTACAGGCCACAGACAGTCTGCAAGAGCACAGAACCTGGTTGTAAGTTGTAAAAAGCAAGAGCAGCTGGAGACTCTGAAGTCAGACAAACAGCTTCCCCAGTAGCCTCCTCAGAGGGAGGTTTGACTTCTGTTGTTCCTGCTTCCGTCCAACCAGGTCAGGCAGCTGCCCATCCCCCACCACGCAGAGAAGGTGTTTGTTAAACACAGTCATAATTTGTGGCTAAATATAACCCAGTGTGTTCACACAGAAAGTATAATTCAGGGTGCTTGTTGTATGAGGTTATCAGGGAGGAGACCCATCTGGGTTAAATTAAAGTGCTTTTCATAAAGGCCAGAAGCATCCATGGCCTGGCTTCCCCCTGACTTTTTATTAGTGACAGTGTGATTGTTACTAGTACCACAGGGATCAGGAAGATGGGAAGATGCAGGACCCCAGGCTAAGGAGGAAGATCCCAGTACCCCATCCTCCATCTCGTGGGCCTGAGCCTCTCTCCAGCCTCCTGCTCACAGTCCACTCCTCGGAGCCCCCCTCGGAAGTCTGAGTGTGTCAGTAGTGCTAGCCACCCACCTGCCCAGGCCAGCTCCTCCTACACAGGCTCATGGGGCTGAGTCTGGGGGTGGCCTAGGGGCGGAAATGGGTTCTTTGGGTATGGGGAGATGGCGTTGTCAGTCTCCCTGAATAAGGAATGATCAATTTTCCTGGCAGGAGGCTGACCCAAGCCATCTTGGCAGTGAGGGAAGACCCCATGACTGAAGCCCAGGCCGGGAGGGAAGGCCAGGTGATCAGACCTCAGACCGGCGGTTAGGTGTGAGGGCTGAGTATCTAAAGCTGGGGACAAGTGCCCGGGCAGAGCCTGACCAGAGGGGCTTTTATGTGGTCCTGGGCACATCCAGAGCAAAGTGAGGCTGTAAGGACACCTGCCCGGACTGTCTGCTTTACTGGACCCAGCTGCCGAAGAAGTGCCAAGGATGTGATGGCTGCAGGCCCACTGGGTCCCACTTGTGTAATGTAGCTCAGGGGCTGGGGATTTAGTTCAGTGGTTCCGCCGCCTGCCGCGAAAGCACAGGTGCTGAGTTTGATCCCCAGTACAGAAAAAAAAAAAAAGCTACTCAGGGCCTTGGGACCCAGACTTGCCCATCCTGACCTCACACCAGTGGGCCTCAGGTAGAAGATGCAGGCAGGGTATCAAGGGCTCTTCAGATGAGGCCCCACCTGTCTCAGGGAGCAGGCTGAGCATGCAGTTTGATCAGTGGGGCCAGCAGCAGAACCTATAGGACCAGATAGACCCCAAGTTGTGGGGGCTACAGCCCCCCCCATTTCTTTGGCTTCCCTGACAGCCCAGACAGCCCACTGAGCAGCACCCTGCCCTTTCTTGCTGTCACCCCAGATGGCAGGTGCCCGAAGCCAGCTTGCACTTGAATTTCTTTGGGTCCCTAGGATTCCCCACTTTGAAAATCCCAGCCCAGTGCAGACAACTCCAAGTACCTGTCCCCACGAGAGGGTCACTGTGTAGGGCCATGTCTGTCTATGTGGACAGCTCTTCCTGCCCTGTCACAGGCTGTGCCAAGGAACACTCCTGTCCTGTTTCCAGAGCTGCCCACGTCCATCCCAGACCCAGCTCTCAGGTGTGGGCACACCGCATCGTCTGGGTGCTGTGACATTCCTCCCCAGTGCCTGCTGGGCTCGTTCCCTGGGAGACACACACCCCTACTCCTTGTTTCTGAGGGCACTTGAGTCCTTGGCCTGGTTACTTTTAGCACTTACAGACCAAAAATAAATGTTTCCCATCAAAATTCCCACAGAGCAGCCAGAGTGTGCTGCAAAGTGCTGTCTTCCAGATCCGAAGACAGAAGTAGGGGCCTGGCCCCAGGACCGCCTGACCTCCCCAGCTGCTGCCTGGCCTGTAGTACAACTGCCTACCACCTCTTGTTCACAGGACAGTTGATCCGTTAAATTAAAAATCATTCAGTAAATCCATTTGTTGACCTCCACAGATACATATTCCACCCTAGTTCATGACGCATCAGTAATCCCGCAGGGGATGAATTCTTGGGAAGGTCAGGGAAGGGCCCCAAAGGGACCCTCGCCCGAAGCCCTTTGTGCACCTTTCTCTCAGGGCTGGCAATGGCCTGCCCCTGGGTGTTGGAAGAGCGCCCGCAAATGGGCGCTTTTCTTCCTACCAGAATTATTTGCTTGGCTCTTTCTTCTTTTTTTTTTAATAGCAGAACTTTTTTATGCAGAAAACCTCCTGAGACAGGTGGTGAGAAATCAAAGCCCTCACATCGGAGCCGGAAACAAAAGGGCTTTGGAAAAGCTGCTTCGGGGAGCGGGCTGAGCGCTGAACCCGCGTGGGGAGAAGCCGCGGCCTGGTCTCGGGTCTCCACCTGCGCCAAGTCGGCCCAGTCCCCGGGAGCGAGGAGGCGGCCGGAGGCGCCATAATCGCTAATTTATGGCCTGGGTGACGTGCTTCCCTCTCCCACAATGGGGCCCGGTGACATTAAACAGAAAATTGATGAGAGGAGCGAAATCTAATCTCTTTCCCCGGCGCGCCGGCTCTTTCCCTTCTCTGGGAGGGGGCTGGGACACGAGGAAGAAGGTGGTCGCTTGAACCACGCGCTGGAGGCCTCTCTCCCGGACTCCAGCTCCGGACCCGCGGGTGGGCTGGGGCCTCCTTTCGGCCGGATCCTCCGGGCAGCCGGCTCGGCGCTCCACAGCCTGG